TTCTTTAGATCTTGGAGGCAATATATACATCTGGATATACTGCTTACTAGGCAAAGCAACCTATAAGATTGTCAGCTTTGAGTGGAGTCCAGAGCAAGAAAGGGTTCTTTTCTGTCATTCAAGCAAGTGGGGTCCAGAGCAAGAAAGAGTCCAGGCTGTAGTTCAAGCTGCTCTGTCACTTGGGCCTTATGACCCAGCAGATCCCATGGTACTGGAACTGTTCATGGTTGAGTTACTTTATAGACTTTGGTTTTCTTGAGAAGGACAATGTAAATTCCTGGAGTCTGGGTGTCAGACAATGCTAATTCTGCCAACAACTATTTTCCATTTGAAAAGCAACTATGGGTTTGTTACTAGACCCTGTAGTAGAGACTGAAGTCATGACCATGGGACTCCCCAAAACTATGTTACCTAAAATGCCCATCAGGAACTGAACCTTATATGAAGTTCTGAAAAGTAAAACTGTATATGGGGCCGGCCCAGTGGCGCACTGCTATAGTGCGCCGCTTGGGAAGCGCGGCAGCGCTCCCGCCAAGGGTTCGGATCCCACATACAGACCGGTTCCCGCTCACTGGCTGAGCGAGGCGGTGAGCGAGGCGTGGGGGCAACACCGAGGGTTGCGATCCCGTTGCTGGTCCCGGTCTGGTACGGGGGCGACACTGAGGGTTGCGATCCGTTGCCGGACACGGAAAAAGACAAAAAAAAAGGAAAAAAAAAAAACTTATATGAACAGCAGCTTTCCACTTTTAAGTGGAAACACAACTAGACTAGGCCCAAGGAGGTTCTTAAAGCACAAGCAGACAGCATGAGCAGGTGCCTAGGAATCCAATGTACTTGTTCCCAGTGCTTCTCCACCTCTCCCTTGATCTACACCTATGGCCTCATGGAGAGTTCCTTATGATTGGTTAACACAACAGAACAAAACACAAGCCTGAATTATGAATAAGTCTGCAGAGGATGCTAGCACCAATTGGAAGTGGACAGTAGTTACATCAGAGTCCCACTGAAGGGTGGCCTTGAAAGACAGTAGAAGAAAATTCTTACAGTAGGCAGAACTTTGGAAAATACTTTTGGCTGTGTATTCGTTGTAGAAGTAGAGATGACCTAAATTCTACACTGACCCATGGGAGTTACTAATGGATGGCCACCTGGTTAGGGGCGTGAAAAGAACAAGATTAAAAGATTGAAAATAAGAAAGATGGTAGGAGAGATGTATTAATGGATTTCTGAGAATAGGTACAATGTTAAAATACTCAGGTTTCAAATAAATGACCACCAGAGAGCACCCACCATATAGGAGGCCCTCAGAGATCATATGGCAAGATTAGCTATCTAGTACATAACAGACTCTTTCCCTAGCCACCCTGGTGATTGCTCAATGGGCCCATGTACAAAGTGGTCATGGTGGGAAGAATGGAGGCTATGCACGAGCCCAACAATATGGTCTTCCCTACACAAGATTGATCTGGCTACCACCACTGCTGAGTGCCCACCTGCCAATAACAGAGGTCAAGAGCAAGCTTCCAATACGGTACCCTCCCAGGAGGGACTAGTTAGTCACTTGGTGAAAGAATGATTACATTAGACAGCGCACATCATGGAGGGGGACAGTGATTGCTCCTTACAAGAACAGACACAAATTCTAGATAGGTTTTCCTTCCCTATCCAAACTATACTAACAGAAAGCTTACATATCATCATATCACATACATGCCCCCAACCAAGTACATAGGTAAGTGTGGCAGTGGGCTCTAACACACAATATGTTTGTTTTATTTTGTGCCCTATCATCCAGAAGTTGCCACGGTCAAATGCTGAAGGATCAGTTACAGCACCAACTGAGAGACCTTCAACCAGATGCTGTCTCAAATTAGTGGCCAATATATAGGTTTCACTTTCCATAGCCAAAAGAGAACTGGGAACCAAGAGGCAAAAGTTGGAGTGACTGTTCTCACTACTGCACCAAAACAGCCACTGAAGGAATTTTCACCTCCTGTCCATGTGACCTTAGGTTCAATGTGTTTGGAGACCTTAGTGCCCAAAGAAATAATGCATCCACTAGGGCACATAGCCAATGGTTCCATTTAATCAGAAGCTGAGACTGCCCCATGACCACTCTGGGATCCTCACGCCAATGAACCAAAAGGCAAAGAAAGGGGTTCTATACTGGCTAGAATGACTAATCTCAATTACCAAACAGGAAATTGAAGCTTTGCTATGCAATAAGGACGAGAATTATGTCTGGAATCTAAAGGATTCACTGGGATACCTCTTAGATCCCCCTTGACCAAAACCCTAGTCAGTGGAAAACTGCAACAACCCAACAAAGACAGGAGGATGTAGATCCTATAGGAATGAAGGTCTAGGACATCCCACCATAACATTGGCAGAAGGAAAGGGAAACATGAAACAGGTGGAGGAATACAGCAAAGTAACATGGTACTTCAAAGAGTTTGTGAAAAAATAGACATAAAAGATAATATGAATCTTTCCATGAACTTTTTGAAGACCCCCTTGTATATCAACTTTGGCCTTGCTACCAGCTAAAGAAAGCAGGGGCTACAGCAATTAAGTTTACATTGTCTCTTTGACCCACTTTTCTCTCCACTATCTTCAATGAAAGACATTGGTGGTAGCTAATATTTTAGGTGGAAGTAGGGCTAAACTGTCATCTCCCACACTAATACAATAGCTCAGAGAATGGCAAACTCTTTCTTGAAGGACCAGATAGCAAGTACTTCAGGCTTTGTAGGCCACACAGTATCTGTCTCAGCTACTCAACTGTGCCACTGCAGCTCCAACGCAGCCACTGACAATGCATAAATGAATGGTCATGGCTGTGTTTAAATAACAGTTTATGTACAAAAACAGGTAGTCAGCCATTGCTAACTCCTTCAATAACTGACAAGACCTCATAAGTGCCTCATGTTAAGAACACTAGATTTTCGTCTCAACAAAAGACAAGACAAGATGTGTTGTAATAAAAGGGTTAGACTGTTCTGGATATTCTCCTTTCGCCCCTCCTGATTTGTTCTCAACCTACTCTATGCCCTGGCAGTTACATTAACTGGGCTCTGCCTCTCCAGAAGGTTGGGTTGGTCAAATGGGAGGTATAAGGAAGAAAGTGAAGGGCTGGCCCGTGGCTCACTTGGGAGAGTGTGATGCTGATAACACCAAGGCCACAGGTTCAGATCCCTATATAGCGATGGCCAGTTAGCTCACTTCGGAGAACGTGGTGCTGACAACACCAAGTCAAGGGTTAAGATCCCCTTACCAGTCATCTTTTTTTTTTTTTTTAAAAAAAAAAAGGACAAAACTGAAGAGCAGAAGGAAAGTGAGCTCATTATATTCATTCCCCCAGGTTCCTCTCTCGCAGGTCACAGGTAGGCAGTAGCTTCATTCTTTTACTAAAGATCACAGCTCCAGTAAGGTGAATCCTTCCTCCAGCTACAATAGGTTCTAGTAACTTCTCCCTACTTTTATTCTTTCAGGCCTAGAAGTGCTAACTGTGCCTCACTGTTGCTGGGTCTAGGTATTATTCCACCTCCTGTTGGCGTCTCTTAACTGTTTGTTCTAAATAGCCCCTTCACTAATTGATGTCAATTAATTTGTACACTGTGCCATTTGTTTCCTGCCAGGATCCTAACCCATTCACCATCCAACTAATTTTTCCAATAGGAAACTTAAAAGTCATCCACATCTCCTTTCTAGCATTCCTGAAAACAATCATCTGCAACTCCTTTCTATTATTTCCTCACAGATAGGGAGGTGGAGGGGAGAATAATAGAAAGGAGATGTAGATGACTCTTAGGTCTTCCTTGCTTAAAAATGGCTCCGTAACTTGCTAACTTTAGGCCCTTAGGAAAATAACTTAACCTAAGCTGCCTCATTTATAAAATCAGGATTAAAATATTATCTAATTCATGGGGTTATTGTGAACATTAACTGAGTCAATACACATAAAACTTAGAAGAGTATCTTACATATATAAGGACTCAGTAAACATGCACTATAATTCAATCATGTCAACTCTATTCCTACTCCATTTTCACTAATGCTATCTTCATTCAGGGCTTCATCCTTTCTCCCCTAGATTACTGCGGTAACCTCTTAACTAGACTCCCTAACTCTCATATCTTTTCTACCCAATTTATACAACATGATATACCTAAAGTATCCTACCAAGAAATACAAGGTAAATAATCATCATCTGTGAGGAATACTGCAAGAGAAATTCCATAAATGAGGAGACTAAACTTAATGAATCTTTTAGGATCCTTACAAATCTAAGATTCTATGATATTTATGTAAATGTTACACTTTTCTACCTATACAGCTCATCCTAAGTAAACATTTACATAACATGGGTAACAAGTCTGAGATGGAAGTTGATACCATCACTCAAAGAAAATCAGCTCTCCTTAAGAGTTTAGTTTACTTAATAGAGGTGCCCCTGACCGAGTAAATTAAGTACTTGGGTTTTCCGGGATTTTCCTAGAATGGATTATATCAGCAATCCATACATCTACATGGGGGAGGGGGGGGTGCACGGAACGGGGGAAGTGTTACTAGATCTCAAATACTCTAAAACTTCCCTACAAAGACGAACCTCCTAAACCAGAGCAGACAAGAATCAGAAAACAAAAACAGCCTCTCAGAAGCCAAGTCAAGTCAGTGAGTGTACTGATAATCGTAATCGATTTTTTCATAGAAGAAATCTCACTATGGGTTTTTTTCTTGTTTCATGCACAATTTTAAATGCTTGACTATATAGGCTTTCATATATCACAACAGATTACAGGATATAAAATTTTTATCAGGAAATAGAAAAAAAAGAAAAGGAGAATTGAGGAGGCAATGGGTACACTAGAAGGATCATGAAACTTGGAATCCTACAGACCTGAATTCTAATTCTTAACTAATCTTGAAACACAATTATCTGAAGAGTATAAAGAAAGGGTGGAATTGTTACCATTTACAGTTGTTGAGAATAAACTTACCACAACAGATTTTCTCTGGAAATTTATGTTGTTGATGCAGACGACCTGATGGGTTGTATATTAAAAAATATTCGATTAAAATAAAGAAAAAATAATTTCTATTATTAAATGAAAGCATAATTCTACCCAAGTACAAATAAGGACTATGTGCTAAGTAGCTCAAAATCACAAGTCAATATTTCATTTTAAAACTCTACAAACTGGAAAAACCTACTTGTTTTAAATCTTAACAGCAGGCACGAAACATTTCTTTTGACAGAAATACAATTTAGTACTTTAAGAAAAGAGTTCATTAACCTGCAAGGTGTATTAAATCTGCTGAATAACACTGTCTTTCAAAACATTTTCACCCTTCAAACACAATTTCCATCAAAGTGAGAGAATTCTAGATTCCCACTAGGTTTCCCAGGCCCGCCAACTCACAGCTTCAAGCAATCACAAGATATAATGAAAGCAAAACCAAGAGAAAGGAGATCAAAAGATA